GTCAAGGGTTTCATTTCTGTAGTTTGGTTTAAAGAGACAGGAGTTTGACAACGCTGGGTTAAGGTTGGAGTGTGGATTCTTATAGATGTATTGCACACTCTTGGCTCTGGTAGTGGGGAAGCTCTTGTAGTCCAAGGTTTAGTTACTGTGGGAGGGCTATGTGGGACTTTAATATCTCTGGTAGCTTCAGCAAGGGGCTTAATATTTGTGTCAGTGTTGCTATTTAAGGCAGGGTGTGAGAGGGCTTGAGTATTTACAGTATGAATGTTAGTTCCATCTATAGTTTGCTGTAACTGTTTCACTGCAGTCTGAGAGCTCACAAAATGTTCAAATGTTTCAACCTCATCTCCAGACAACATGATATGACTTGGCCTTGCAATGGTTTGCTGTTGTGCACTGATACTAGATATGTTACAATCAGAAATGGAAGGTACTGTCTGAGCACTGAATGTAAACAGTTTAGTTTTTGTAGTCGGACTTGGAGATTTCTTGTCAATAACTGGCTGGATGAATGGAGACTGTTTTACAGCGGTTTCGGTAGTAATTTGTGGTGCAAACATCTCAGATGATCTTTGTTTAGTAAGCAGGCTGACAGTTAGTTTACCATCTGTTTTTTTGTTTGTGTGGACTCTTGTTTGGGCATCAGAGTTTGCAGTGATAGGTGACTTTGCTGCAGATTGATTCTCAGGTCTCTCTGATCTCAGCAGAGGGGTTTTCGGTGTGATGTGCCTCAAGGTAGGGCTAGATGGCACAGGAGGTTTACTGACCTGTGCAGTCTTGCATGTTGGTTTGCTGCTGACTGATGGATCAGCCATCACTGGCAGACCATTGCTGCCCAAATTGGATTTGCCTGACTGTGCAGTTTCTGCATCAGGTCTGCTATGCTGAATTGCTTTTACACCTCCTGGCTGTCCAGGTGAGACTATATCTATAGAAAGCTTGCAGACAGTTGTTATCCCTGCTGACGGTTTGTTGGCCAGTTTGGTTTTACTGCTCGGTGTGCTCACTGCTATGTTTCCTTTTGAAAGATTAGAAGCTTGTTTTGTTTCAACAACACATTTTGTTTGAATGTTTTCTGCATGAATAGGTGCAGTAGGAAGATGCTCCTCTTGCATTCTCCCAGGCAATAAACCCTCTGTTCCACTGCTGCTGCTGACTTGGTTAGTGTTACTACTAATACAAGTTGGAAGGTTGGCCTCTATATTTACTTGGTTAGATAGTGTTGATTCAACAGAACAGATGTTAAAAGAGATATTAGATGCTTGCGCAGTTTCTACTGTAGCTCTGCTTGAGTTTGGGTAAAAACTTTCTCCTTGAACAATTTTATCTTGGCTATTGGATCTTATGCCACTTTTTGTGTTTGTATGCACATTCTCACTAATTTTAGTTATCTTTGGGGTCTTTTTTGTTGCCATATTAGATAAAGCAATGTCTAAAGGGAACTTTATGTCTGAAATATTAGGTGATTTGGTTGCAATGATGGATAGGCTAGGGAGCTTGGTTTCTATGGTAGGTTTGCCCAGTAGATTACTATTTACATCAGATAAATTCGGTACAGTTGCTGCTTGAGAAAATTTCAGAGAGAGGCCTGCTCCAGGGAAACTGATCTTGTTTTCTACTACTTCACTATTACTGTAAATGTGAGTTTCTGCTGTGAGCTGTTTTATGAATTTGGTAATTTGCGTGGCTGCTGCAGCTACTGTGCAGGAACTGTACTGTGCAGAACATAGAGAGGTTGTGTCAGGTTCATGTGGCATCATTGATCCTGTGGTAACACTAACTGGTTTATTAGACAATATTTTTGAGGTTTGGTAAGGTTGGACCAGAGCTCTCTCTATTTGTCCTAAAGGCTGTTTTGCAATTGTGACTTTTGATTCTCCTGCTGTAGAGGTTTTCTCAGGATTAAAACCTTTCTCTATGACACCCATCCTTTTTGCACTATGCCGTGTTTTTGCATTTGAATCTACTTTCACTGAGGATTTCAACAGACCACTGCTATCAGTCAGGCATGGAGCCTTATTCAATGCTGCCTCTATAGAAAACAATGCTGCACTTAGTGTGTGTCCCTCACCTGTTTCAGGTATTGGTACTGGAGCCTTAGAGTATGAGGCATTTGGTGTAGAAAGGTCACTTGTGGATTGATGCATTGTGTTCTGTCCCAAGGCAAAAGGAAGCTCAAGTTTTTGGGTGTCCACACTAGACTTGTTAAGTGATTGTTTTTCAATACTGTGAATCCCACAGTGACTTTCCTCAAACACATCTTGACTACTTGTGAGCATCAATTCACCTGGATGCTCTGAATACTTTGGTGATGACAAAGGTTGTAAACTGTGAGCAGCAGAAAGCTCCACTGAAGAGGAAAGATCTTGGTGTCCATTGAGTTGTTTTGTTACATCAGACTTTGGTCCATCTACAGCTACTTCTGACTGTGATTCGTTTGAAGAGGTTTCATTAATAACCGTCCAGGGTACAGGGCTGTGATGTGATGTGACAGTCCTAATCCCACCATAGGCAACATAATCATCTGGAGGAAGCCCACAATATGCCAATCGTGATTTAGGCTTTGAGGTCGCTAATGACATTTGAGTCTCCAATAGTGAAGTCAAAGACTTCCGTGCCTCAACCATAGGAGGACGATAAGTGGACAACAGGGGGCCTGGGCTTGTTGATGCTCGCACTGAAACCACTGGTGCAGGGTTGAAATTTGAAGTCTTTGGTACACAGACAAACAATGGAACCTTTGGCAAAGTTGAAGCTTCACCTTCTGCAACTCTGTCCATTTTTAGTTTTGGGGTGATAAAGAGTTCTGTTAGTGTTGGATTGACCACAGTGGATTCAGGTGCAGTTATACTTGATGCTAAATTCTCTCTGTGGTAAAGCTCAGTATTAGCAATGCTTGGGTTTACTGTACTCCTTCGAGTATGCTGAATCTCTACTTTGTAATTGCTGGCATGTTTGATAGAATTCATGAGATTAACATCAGTTTGCTTCGGTTCTTCTGTGGTAGACCTCATTTTACTTATTATATTGCTAGTCTGAATCGTTGAATGGTGTTGTGGGATCTTTCTGGAAATAGCAGGACCATGTAGATCTTGGGAGCAGTTAAAAGCAGGACTTGCAGCAAATAAAAGTGGGTTAGGTTTGGATATTTCTAAAACTGGTGTGGATACTCGTGCTGGTGTGCAAGAAGAAGTCTTAGGTCTCGCAATTTGGGTCCTGGACACAGATGGTTTCTGATCAGTTTTCAGTACTGACACAGCTGCTTTATCCTTGTATACAGCAGATAGTGATGCTCCATGATAGGCTGAGTTTCTTACAGTGAGATCCTGGATAGAAGGCGTTTTAGAGATCTCATAAAATGCTGCCTTTGATTTATAAATCCTGGTTTGTGGGTTACCAGGCCTTGTCTCTTTCATCACTTCCGTAAGTGATATTTTTGAGGCAGTTATCTCAGTAGATTGGCTCAGAATAAAGTTGCCATTACTGCTAGGTCTCTGACACTGAGGGCTGTCCTGTAAAATGGCGTCTGTCTCCTCCTGTCTGGGAATAAAAGGTTGTGTCTGAGTGTTTGAAAGCGATAGCAGCAGTGGAACAGGAGGTAGGCCTGTAACTTGAGAAGGTGGTGAGCCTGGGCCATAGCTGGGGATGGCCGGGGATAGAGTCAGGCTGTGAGTTGATATTTTAGGGCTGGACTGAGATGCAGTGACTGGAGGGACTGTTATTACTGACCCATGGCAATTTGTTATGTTGAAATTGAAAGCAGAAGGGGCTGGAACCTTTTCAGGTGGTGATGGAGGTGGTGAAGCCAAAGACGCATCATCGAATAAAAAAGAGGAGCACTCATACAGTGGAGCTACCTGCTCCTCAGAAGTCCTGCTCCGAGGGAATGCAGATGTACAGGGGTCGTAAAAGGGACCCGTGGGAAAACTGGACACCGATGATGCAATGGAGACAGAATCTGGTGTTCCTGGTGGGCTGGAGTGGTCACTGTGCTCAAGGTCTGTGCTTGCTTCATTGACAGGCGACAAACAGGAGCGAAATGGAACAGGCGTCTGAGAGAGACTGCCCTTTTTCTTGGCTCTCTTCTTCTTAAGTTTCTGAAGCCTCGCATTGTCTTTCCCTGGTTTTGGCAGTAAGGGCGGAGGATATTGCTGGGAAAGGTCAGATTCCGGCCCGTTACTGTAATGTACCTCCATCAGCATTTGAGACTCCTACAAGACAGATGAGACTTCTCAGTCTATTTTGCTTCAGCCAAAATTCTACTAGTAAAGCAGGTGAAAAGAGTTAGATTAGAAAAATGGAGAACTATCCTGTACACACTGCTTTCATCATACTGTATTTGCTTGACAAGAAAACAAATGCTTCTAACATTATTTGAATGCAGAAATTCTAAGCAGAGATATAACAAAATGTCTCATGATGAAGGTATACATTACCTCACCATAAATGTTGATGATACAGCTGTTTTGGCATTTGCTTTTATGGCTTAGGAACAAAGTTATTGAGACTCTCAATCACTGAGCAGATGGAAATGTTGTTACCAACTAGACTTTGGCCAGTTTCTTTCCCCAGGCCATCAGTTGTATGAACAGTTAATCCATGTTTACATGTATAAAGAGAACAAACACTACAGTGCAATAATTTATAGATGTAACCACTGTACATAAAATAGCTCATTCTAAACTTGTATATGTGTAAATATTTATCAATAGAATGGCCCTGGTTGGCTGGCATCTAGTTTTTTACTTATTCTTTTTTTTTTCAGTTTTATTTGGTGCACATCGGGGGCCATTTAGCTGGAGTCAAATTCCTTGTGTTTTAACATACTTGGCAATAATATTTATGACTGATTGAAAAGTAATTCTTTTGTCATATCACCCTAATCTCAGCAGCTGACCAAATATTCTGTTTTTTTAAGTTAATTGTGGATATATTTTATTCATGTCATTGTGTTTATATGACCAGTAAAATGTTCAAATGTTGTTATTCTTCCTTTGCAGCTGGACTGTTCTATGAAGACTTGTGAAACATGCTGGACACATGCTGAATTTTGGATTATGAAAAAAAACTTTGATACCAGACAAATTTTAGCCACTATTAATTTTGTGTATTTCAAGCCTTAGGTTGGAAATGTTCTTAAATCCATTTCTAATGGCAATTTTCTTTTGACATTTCTTCTGATCATTTTTACAAAAGAGAATAAAAATGGTGAGTATTTTGTCTGATGGACTCATATTCATTGTATCTTGTGAATAATATCTCAAGGTACTTCAACAGTTGTACATCTTTGAATATAGTGAAATAAAATCAATTAAAATGATTTATGGAGTTTGATTCCTATGTAGTTGACTCTCAAAGTGTCTTTGCTTCTATTATGATTTACTGACTGTCCATCATACTCTAGTGTATTCTCAATTTAGTTTATTCAGCTGCTTACTAACTACTGATTTAATGCTAATGCTAATTGGTCTGAGACAAATCTGCAGTTAGCTTTTAAAGAGCCACGTGCTCGGCAGTCTCATTAACAGGTTTTAAAGCTTTTAATTGGGTCCTCACGATGGCGCACAGCTACAAGAAGTGTCACTATTATAAATAGAAAGGCATGTTGCTTATGGTAAGGCTACTTTGAAACGATGACAAACTACTTATGAAAATAGTCTCTCAAGGAGACTGTTGGATTAAAAAAAGATCTCTGCAGGAAATGAAAGTGCACGTAAAGGAAGACGACTGACACATACAGGAGGGAGAGCAGGGTCATGCAGGGAGGTGGGATGTTAGCAATTAGGTAATGACCATCCCTCCATTATTGACATTACAACCAAATGCTAAGGAGGTTAAGGGTCAGAAACATAATTAACTGATGATAAATGTAAATGGGACAAAAGAAGATAGGGTGAGTTGAAATTTGATGTACATAGTGTGAAACAGTATTGTAGAAAATTAACGATAGTTGGTTTACTTTACTATGTAATATACTGTACATATCTCAATTTAATAGTTCCTCTTCCATCTGAATATTGGATTATCTTTGGGTGACACTAGAAAAGGTCTGTGGTCTAATTTTAGACTGAGGGAAGTAAGAGCAAACATCCTGACACCAAGCACCTGCTGCCTGCTGTCCTGTACTCACACATAAATGGTCTCAGGCTGCTGGAAATGAATGAGGCCCAAATCCTCTTGGGGCTCTGCTGACTATACACTTAGCGATGTGTTTCAGAGCAATAATTCTCTTAAATTTTTGTTAATTTAATTTTTAGTTTGCATGATGGAAGTAGGGTGATTACACTGCAAGTTTGATCATCTCTGGCTTGAATATTTAAAGTACTGGATCTGCAACACAGACGTTCCTCTTGTGAGTTACTGTCTTAATTTTATACAGAGCAAAATATTTGTCTGGTTTTGAGCAAATGTTTAATATGAATCCCTGTGGCAAAGGTGATTCCAGCAGTCACAGTAACAAGGAGGCCAGCTGACACTTGAGAAGTCCGCCTTTTAAGGTTCTGGGGATATCTCTGAGGCTTCCACTGGAGCAGCTCAAAAGAGGAAAGTATAAGTTTAGCTTTGCAATAAAACTGTACCATGACCTCAATCTGTCTAGCCTTCAAGAACTCAACTCAGGCTGCTACACTATGAATCAAAGAAGCACTTACTTGAAGTGGAGACAGGTGTTGCTATTGTTGTTCTGGAGAGGCTGCAAAGCAAACAACAGTACAGTGTAAGAAAGGAAGGATAGAGGCAGTTAGTTTATTCAATATTTACAACAGAGTGGATAAAAAGGCCGCAAAAGGAATACAAACATAATCAATGTGTTGGTATGCCGGTTTTGTTAATCAGTGACTCATGTTTACATCATCATTCATCACCTTTCATCTATCAGGGCACGAAATTATGCAGAAACAACATGAAAAGCACTGCAAGCTCTTCCTTTCATGGATCTAATGTCTGATATGCATCATGCGTTTAATATTTCAGCTCGTGCACGTGTTACTATCAAATTCTATGCACCGTTTGAAGGTTAGCACAGGGCCAATGGCTCAGGATCACTCTGCAGTACCAACAGACACTGAGTTTGACTGGTTTACCTTCGAGCGGCTGTCGGAACAAACTGCTCTCTGCTCATTAATCCCGGCTCAAGGTGCCACAGGGCCGTCTCATCCTGAAGTGAACCAGAGCCTTAGGGAGTGAGCCACCGTGTCCATGACCACTCCAAAAATAAAACGGTTGCCTTCAGTGTGTGTTGCAGGGGCATCTGGGGGTTTCCAGGCCACCTGAGATGGCTGAGGAGCAGCCCCTACAGGCGGTCGGCAGTCACCTCCACCTGGACATACTGTAGGTGGTCAACATTGTCATCTCTGAGGACTAAGGAGGAGACATCCAGGACAGAATGGGCACTTCCTGACAGATAAACAATACACAAGAATATTACTTTCAACAAGAACCTTGGAACTTACTATAAACATTAATCAAGTAAAACTGATATATAATGCATATTATACATAACTGTTGAGACCTTCAAAAACTATGATAAAGCTCCAGTTATTAAAAAAAAAGTTCTACCACAAATGGCCATCAAATAGATTTTCTCTCAGGTTTACTAATTTTATTTTAATAAAAAAATTTGTTTCTGGTACAGATTTAGTTCAGATACATAACCCTGACTGACCTAACAGTTGTCATTGTCTTTTTATCTGTGAATATACTGTAATCTTCAATTTTCCTAAAAAGGAGATTTATGACTCTGAAGTCCTAAATGACTGTAAGTTGAAGAAGAGACAACAAAAAGCTGTGTCAAGTTGTTCTGTGAATCAAGTATTTTAACGAGGTCTGACTTGAAAAACTGAATGTTTCCCTTGTATGTATTTGTAATTTACCTACAGTTATAGCTTCTACCAGTTGCTCTTACTAGCACGTTTGCATGTAATGTCTGCACTACAAATTAAATGTCACTTTATCTCAGTAAACATTATTTCCACTTGTAAACAAATGGGCCTGGGACTACCTGATCAGTGGGTACTCTGCCGATCTGCCTTTAGGCGTGTACACTGGTTATTACACAAGTGGAGCTGATCAGGGAAGCAGTGGTTACACTGGTCAGCACCCAGCAGCAGATGGGATTTCAATTATATGTACCTATGTATGTAGTTTCATGCATTTGAACAAAACTCAAACTGTGCATTTAATTTACATCTCTAGTTGTTTTCAGGCAGGTGCACAAAATGCTCTGATCACTTCCAATCAGTACTGTTGCAGTAAAATCTCTGCCCACTAGTTGTAGTACTGTGCAGCTCTGAACAGCAGCACTTCAGTCAGTGAGAATTTATACACCCTGGATTGTTCCACAGGTTTGTCCAAAGAGAGGTCTGGTGGCATCAGCCACAATACAACTTTGACAAATTACATGGCTACTGAGGAACTGTTTGGCATCTCAACTAATGAATGGATACTAGCAACACATTTGAGAGTACTCCTACAGATGCAGAAGGTTTTTGGCTTTTAAACTTCATGCACCACAAATAATCTTGAGAAGTTAATGGTAGAAAATTGTCAAGAAACAATTTCTATTGTTGGTAGCCCCAAGTTAATATGAAGTTTTGGATCCCTGCTATTGTGTAGATCTCCCTTTCCCCCCGTGACCATAAATATGAATAAATGCAATTTAAAAATTCATTGTAATCACAAGATGACTTGTTAAGCAGTACAACCTAAAAGCCTATGTAAATGAGCGAGCATAAAAAGATGTAACTAGCTGCAATACACCTATGAATTTTTTTTTAACTCTTCCATTTTGCAATATAGCATGATTGTTCTGAATGGAAACCAAACTGTTGACAAAATCTCATTAGACTGTAGTGTACTGTGGACAAGATATTTGGATAGACTGGGAAAGGTACAGAAATTACACCTATGGACAACAAGAGGAAGCTAGAGCGAGACAAGAACTTGAGAACTGACAGAGCAATATAGAGGAGATAAGGAGGAGTTAGGTGAAAGAGGTAGAGTGTTTTGTGACTGGCTCATATTTTAAAGCAAGCCTGCTTTAGAGACACTGAAAAGCTATCTGACAAGACAAACTGAGACAATAAAACAAAAGTTTCCGCTGCTGCAGGACCCAGCAAAAACAATGACTAAAACCGGAACGCTCTGGTGAGTCAGTCTCTCAAGTCGAATCTTCTGGAGTAGGATGTGACTTGTTGGTTCAGGTTATGGTCTGATCATTCTTGGTTTCTTAGAACATTTTAAGTTTTGTGCCCCAGGTCTGCAGCACTTATTGTCAGTTTTATATCCTACACAGCGACACGTTCTGGTCAACACTGGATTTGACAGCCCTGATCAAGACAGTACTGGGCCATTACTATATAAATTGACCATTCATGACCATGCTGACTATTGTAATGTCTGTTGCCAACACATTTCTCCCGTATATAGTGGCAACATAACAGGAGACACATGCCTTAAATGCATGTTGACTAGGGCAGTGTACTTACGCTTTTCTAATCAGGACTAAGGAGTGAGAGACCCATACCCAGCTAGAGATATTATCTTACTCTATGTCTGTTATGATAGACCCCAACAGGTGAAGAGATGGGGTCCAGGCTTTTGACTAGGTAAGAAAACTGGCCAAACTTAATACCTCGACCATTACTGAGGGCATTGTCTGAAGGCTTGCGATCTGGGGAAACAGCCAAGTGTGACTGGCAATGCTTCTCTGACCTGGTGACTTAAAACAGGAAGAGACTAGACTCTGTACAAGGGTTGGAAGATCATACTGAGACAAAGTAATTATGGTCACTATTACTACTTTGACACCTACCCTGAAGAATACTGCACTCAGACAGCTGACCAACCTGACTGACTAATGAGACCGATGTTGGTTGATGAGAGCACATTGATTCTTATTGAGACTGAAAATCAAATTGCGATTAAATTAAAAATGAAATTAAATAGCGATTTCAATTTGAAAATGAATAATTGTTCAGCCCTAACCATTAGTTATAATAACTTCAGCAAAGTGGAATTTTCATGCCCATTCGCACCAGTTCTTGGTTTGGCTGCAAAGTGCTTTGGGATTACAGTAATTGTGATTTATCAAGCCCAATGGAGTGCTGATATGGAAATGTGCAGATATGTTTAAATATTCAAGAGTGAAACACTTCCAACCAATCATGCCACAGATGCACAAAGCCAACTCAATTGCCACACTGCCCTCGAACTAGTCGGAATCCAGTAATGTTAGGAAAATACTGCAAAGCTGTACTGGTTCTGTACATTCAGTCATAACTCCAAAGTGAGTTGTATTTTCTCCTTGCACAACAACACACAAGACTGTGGCAGGCCCTTGCTCTCATGTTAAACTCTCCTTCAGAAACTTCATTGGACTGCACCTGGTCTGCAGTACAGAAACAGAATCTATGCAGCTATGCTGGTGCAGCACCTCAGTGTTTTTGTGGAGCATCTAAGCAGAATGAATTTAAAAACAACAGTGAGTTCTCTGTGCTGAAATATTAGAGAGGGGTGACTCCATTTCAAAATGAAATGTAAGCTGGCGACAGGAATGACCTGTCAATCAAAAATCAGTGTTTGGACAAACGCTTGTGTGATTGCTAGTCTTGCTGAGCTAATCAAACAGGACACTGGCTATTTCCCCGTACCAACAGCTCAGGGCAGTAGTTACAGCCATCATGAAGGTTAATCTCTACAAAGAACACAAGAAGTACAACCTTTTTGTTGGGGAGCAATTCTTGTGAAAAGTAACAATAGAAATAGCAAAATGTAGACTTTTTACAAGTAAAGAAATTGCTAGTGCAGCTAACATACTGAATTAGCCAAGTTATGTTAGACAGGAGGATCTAGTTAGTTGACGTTACATTAAGATAATACGGTTGAACCAACATTAGTGTCTAACACTTGGTAGCTTGAGATAAACAAAGTTATGCATGATCACATGTAACATCTTGCTAAATGAAAAGCACCTGTGAAAATGTTTTTATATCACAGCACTGTTCCAAAATGCAGTTGAAGGTGCCCATAACCGGTGCTGGTGGCCAAAAGAAGCTTGAGGTGTTTAGAAAACACTGTCCATAGGATTACTATACTACTCAACTATATTACTCAACTAAGAATTATGTCACTTGGCTCTTCAGTGCAACTATTGCCAATGTTTTCTTTTTCTTTCTTTTTAATATATATAGCCTAGACTGTCAGAAAGCCAACCAGACAACCAACTTTTTTTTAATGCCAGTGTTTTCTTTTTTTTTTTCAGTACAAATGTTTCAATGCCAATGTTTGCATTTCCAGGCTTTTCATTGTCAAAGACTAAAGTCATCGGTCAGGCGCCATAATACTGCCACCAGCACTGACGCTAAAATTACATGTCAATTAATTTTTATAATATAAATCATCAATTATGTTGATTAACTGTTGCAGCCCTACTATACACCATTACCAAAAAGACCAAAAGCTAAACTGTTCAGCCCGGTAGCAAAGCCTCCTGGCAGTGACACTCAAGAAGTGAACTAGTTCTACAACTGCCAAATCAAGCCCATAACGCATTACTGACCCACCCAGAATGAACCCAACTAGTACTGCCAAAGTTGAGACCTATCACTACAGTGAAACAACTCCAGAAAACCTGAAGGTTCACACCACTATCATATTTGGACTTTTCTGAGTGTATAACAGAGGGAGAGCTGTCTTATTGCTGTTATGCCTCAGCAATGTTTTCAGGCTGCCCATTCCTGTAAATGCCATCTCTCAGGAACACCTTAAGAGAATTTTTCAAATCAGGCAAATATGTCCACTTAAACTTAACAATGAATTGATTAGATTTTGGTGACCAACGGTCAAGATCATCGCATGCTCACACTGGGCCTATTCCTGTGAATTTGACTAGTTGGTGAAGATATGCAGCACAAATTGATAATTCTAGTTTGCTGTTGGTTTATTAAATCCTGTTGTGGAAAAAATTGCCACCACAATCCATAATCAGTTAACAATGTAGCCACAATTTACAAACTAGCACAGATTTCTCTAACAAAATGGTATTTTTGTAGTACATATTAGACATGTTATTGTCTATATTTCAGAAATCACATTAAAATTGACTGGTTAGTCAGCATTCTGTTTAAGTCCACTTCTATTATTCTGTAATGCTGTATTGTACTAATTCAGTGTGACTGATTAACCTGTTGCTGAAATGGTTACTACACACACACACACACTTTCCCTCCATTGTCTGGATGCCAAGCTGATGTGTAACCCTTCTCTCTGCCTTCTATCACTGTAAATTTAGCAACAGAAGCTTCTCAGCTGCTCCTTTCCAAAACCTGAGCCCCCCTCTTCCAACCACAGTATTTCATCCATCTCCTTCTTCAGGGTCAGGGCTGTTCCCACCTCCTCTCACAACCTTTCCACACATAAACTTGTAAAATACACACACCTCACTCTTACAGCCAATAAGGGCCCGATGAGCTCAAGTATCACTAGAACACAAGGAGTTATTCTCTGAGTGGAGCCTGCAGATTCTTACAGAACTTCATCTCCATCATTGGAGGAGCTTCTCTTCCCTTCTGAGGTAAGACCACAGGCAGACAGCGGCCCTGAACTCATTCCTCAACACTAAACAATGTATTTATGACCGTTTCCTCTTTTAAGCAAAAATTTGTTGGTTGTCTTTTTTTGTTTTGTGTGCAGCAAAGGAAAGAGCCTGAAATATTTAATGAAAACAGCAACTGTTCTGTAACCTTAGGAGAGACCTTTGGAACAGATGCAGACATGTTCTGCTACATGTCAAGCACATGTACTTTATGTTAAGAGCCAGTTTATGCAACCCGGACTGATTAACAGGTTAATCAAACTGTTACTGTATGTAATTAAATCAGACATTTTAATTTAAAAAGCTAGCATAAATTTTATTTATTTGGACCTTTTAATTTGAAATGTTAGGGTAAAACCTATGAGCTCTGGAGGGGCCTAGATCATTGTACTGAACTAATCAAAATCCTGTAAAGTACATTCAGACACTGCCAAATGTTCTGTGATACTAGAGCAGAGAGCATCCTCCCTTTACAGTACAAGACGTGCTCTGCTCACACCATACAATCCTCAAAGGAGCGGTAAATTACAGCTAGAAATAAATTTTCCTTATGTTTCATATCTCTGACTGTTTTTACTTGCACAGACTAACATTATCTTTAAATATTGTCTCGAAATATGTTTAAGTGTCTCACTAATGGTCATAAAAACTACAAAAACCTATTTCATGTAGCGCTGACAGTAAAAGATTGCTGGTTGTCTGAACAACAAACCTGAAACTACACATTCATTTTTATTATTTATTTATTGTAATGCAGTCTGTGTAGAAATTAATTACTACACTATTTGCATATTGTGCTTTTGTAAATGTAGTTCTGCCCCTTTGGTACATGTTAACGTGTGAATATCTGCATGAGACATGTACATGTTCACAGACTTCAGTATCACATATTTAGCATCATGTAGCAGATGCTGAATTCTCAGATTTCTAGTTTAGGTTGGGCCTTTTCCATATCATCCATATCTTGTTTCTCATGTCTAATTTTTCATTATACACATATAGAACACTGAAACTGAAGCACTCTCCTCCTGTAACCTCGTCAGTATATTGACCTGTAAGCTGATACACCTGCATAGTTGTCATGGTTGACCTGGAAATCAGGCCAACCTTTTAGCAATATGAACTTCTGAGATACTGGTTATGCACAAAGTGTGTTTGCTGTCAGAGGCAAAGTTCACACAGTTCATCCACACCCATGAGATGAGTCTATTAACTGGTCAGATTTTGGCATTTAATTCTAAATCTGCTCTCGATCGGCTCAGAATGTGATCTTCCGCTGCGGTCTCGCCTGTTTGAACAGTCTTTCATTTTCACTGTTGAGTTTTGTTCCATTCTAAGAAACGCTTCTCAGGATTCACTGTTCTCAGACTGAAGAACCGAAATGGCTACCTCACTAAATATACAAAGTGCTGAGATGTTGGTATGGGCTCAGTGAATGCTGAACACACAGAGGTGAGGTCAGCTGTTAGTCGATCAAAGAGCTCAGTTGTTGGAAGCGGGTGCTGATTGGCTGTTTGAGTGCAGGGGATCTTTCTGCTGGACCAAGCTGAGGGATTACAGCAGCTATTTGGACACTGTTCCTCAGCTGATGGGTAGAAATATGATCTAGAACTAATCCTGCGACTCCTCTGCAGCTGTGCCCGGCAAATGTGAAGGAGTCATCCAAAGACACAGATATGCTGTATATAGAATATACAGTGAGCAGAAATTCTCCCACACCAACAGAGCTGTCTCCTCGCCCCCCTTTAGGACTCCAGCTGAGCTTCATAGGGCCTGCAGGAGCAGTTCCACACTTGGCCTGATTAGAGGGGTTTTCACATACATGAGACCAAAGTTTAGCATTTTTACAATCAGTGCATGTCGCTGTAGAATCCAGGACAGACGACGTGGTTTCAGTTCAAGTCTAACATGCTCTGGTGGTCTCTAACACTGAAATACATTGGTTTTGTATGCCTGCAGTTGAATAGTTCAACTGTTTCAGCATTTTACAATTAAGCGTTGGCAAATAAAAATATTAGTATATTAGATTTATAATTCTCCCACTGAATTGCAGTGATATCTAATTATGGAACAGTTGTGGTTCAGTTTGTCCAAGTGCTGAGATTAAGACATTTCTGTCTCCACTTGAGTCCAATGGAGGTGAATGGAATTTGAGAGGCCGACTTTACACCTGTCAGTGATGATTCTTAAGTGAAATCTCAATTCACTGCCCACTGCTGGTTAAGTGTATTATAGGGAGCAGTGGATGAGTGAGCACAGGAGTTATTTTGGGCACAGTGTGAGTATTCCCACAGGCCCTGCTGTAAATACAGTTCATCTGAACAAATTTCTAGCACAGAAATGTTCCTGTGAAAACTGTTAACACTGATGTCTGTAAATACTCCTGAGCAGAAGTCACTGTTGACTCTTTTACAAGTAATTTTTTAGTGCAGCAAGCACCGCAAGCACTAAAGGCTGGAAGATTTGTCAAAACCTGGGCAAATAAAACCAAAACTATCTGCATGGCAAGATGTCAAGTAAGAATAAAGGTTATGGGGGTAAATTGACGACTGCATAGATTCAATAGTCATATCAGTGACATTCAAACCAGCTGAGATGGGATAGTGTGGACAGTAGGTGATTCACTAAATAAGTGCATTTACTCAAGTATTTCTATTTGCTGCTACTTTATACATGTAGTCCACTACAGTTAAGAGGAAACTTTACTGCACTACAAATACATGAGAACTGGAGTGACTACTTGTTGTTCAGATGAAGGTTTTAGCTAAAACAATGTGATACCTTTATAAAATACAACTCATTGTTAAAAATTAAACCAGTGGTCATCAACGTTTTCTTGTAACCCCTCAATTATTATAAGTAAATTAAAATTATTACAGTAGCTAAAGAGAAAAGCAGCAAATTCTTACATTGGAGATCTTGCAACAATGAAATGTTTAGCATTTTTTAAAAAAGTAGTACAGCTACTTCACTGCTACACCTCAGTCAACAGGCTCTTTTGTCTTTCTCTTCAGGTGTGAAGTCTGCTGTCACCATGTCTGACGCTGAGGAAGTGTAAGTCAATAACAACACACAGTCTGATGTGTCAGACTAAAACAAACTGCTGTGGGATTTTATGCTGAATGTCTTGATTTTTTTCTATTTCAGGGAGCAGTTCGACGGTAAGTGACAACCATTCTGCCGTGTTTGTTTCAATTATTAAATGTTAGTTCTACGCAGCAATCAAGTGCCATATAAGCATGGATGGATTATGAGAAAATGGGCCCCTGGGCACAGACAGACAAACGATTCCACACTCCTATACAGGACCGACCAGATGGAAGCTTTAGTCATTTAGCCTCTCTCTTTGATTATCTTTCATATTGTTCTAGTCATTCTGCATCTCTGTAGTTGTTTTGTGTCTATTTGTGGTCATTTTCAACTCTCTTTTTTGGGGCAATTTTTGAGTTTCTTTGTGGTTATTTTAAGCCCTTTTGGTCATTTTGTATCTCTTTATCATCAGTTTCCATCTCTTTGTGTTTATTTTGCATCTTTTTCTAGCCATTCTGCTTCTCCTTGTAGTTGTTTGCTTCTCTTTATGGTCAATTTGTCTTTCAACAAAGCTCTGTGACTTTCATACAAGGCATTAACTCACTTCATCCAGAGGCTCTTGCCCAGTAGCCTGTTCAATAATCCATTCATGCATATAATCTCTATTTTATTATGCAAAAGGTTTTAAATAACATTGTTCATATTCAAAGCTTTTTTTCAGGTTCCTTTCTTATACAGGTACTGATCTTAAGAGGTTTTTATAGTGGCAAATTTAGCTCCTTGCTTCTTTATACTAGGTCGCCCCTGAGTGGACATTTTGATAAATGCACCCATGGTGCATCACCAAGCTACTTCTCTTTCTTTCTTATCATACATTTTCTATAAATTTGTTCAAAATATGCCTCAAATAAACTGCTAACATATGAATTTATGTTTTATTATATATTCTGTATGCATGTCAACTTAGAAAATATTTAAATGTAATTATAAAATGACACCATGTTATATTTGTTTCTGTTGTCCCACTATATCTGTCTTTCCAAAACTGGAGATGAGGAGGAAGGTAAAGACAACGGAATTGATTCAACATTTAAGACCTTTCTCCACTGTACTAATCTGTCAGCTGTGTGGTTTCACCCTTTACTTGAAGTGTTTGACACTGGCACCTGCTTTTTTATTTATTTATTTATTTCCCGGTCATACTCATCTACACAGATTTAAAATCAAAGTAGGGATTCCTAAATTAAACTGTAAAAATCGTTTATGTTAACAGGTGATAAATGTTTAGCAGGTTAGACTGTTAATGATTCTTAGTTGGATAAACAATAGCACTTTTCATGATATCAAAATGCCTTTTGTGGAGGTGCACTGCTATTGTTGCTGAACCTTTTCTCATATTTTTGCAGAAATAAACAGATCTGTTATATAGCGATCGTAGGATATTTCCATTTTAAAGCGTAAAGCTTCGTTCCAGCTGTCAGTCAAATACTTTGAAATTAAGGGTGATTTTCTCTGACAGAGTGATGTTTCAAATCACATGGTTAAGGAAAAAATGTGACAGAGCTTCTGGGCTCTTTACATTTATTTCCTGGGCATGTGACATGTTTACATCTGTTAATGTTACATCAGTGCAACTGTCACTGACCTCGTTCACACAACGGCCATATTTTAAACAGTGCAGGTGGAAAGACACCTGGGTGATTCTCAGTCCAATCAAGAAACAGGAACAGGGACTCTTAAACTTAAACTTATTAAAATAACAGAGTTTATCTAACATCTCAATGATTTTGAAATCAAGTGAGAAATTAAGAATTGCCTCTATGGTTTCTCTGGGCTATGGGTTTAATAGGGACCATTAGGTTTTAAAGCTGAATTTGTGAAATGTTTGTATAGTTATACACAACATCAACACAAAATGGCTGCTCTACAGGTAGCTTCCCACCTCAACAGTTCAATATGGCTTCTCTGTGAAAGGTCAGCTGACTATCCCTCATCATCATTGTTTCTCTCTCTGTTCCCCAGCAGCTCTGTCCCTCGCTCACCTATTCATCCTCTTTGTCACTAAAGTAACTTCTCACTTTTGGTTTCTAATGGCTCTGTCATGTCTGTGGTCTTCATTAACGGCCCTCTCCGACACGCTCCCTCTCCCCGACGGTTTGGTGCATGCTGCGTGCCCGTAGCCCAGGAGGAGCTAGTAGAAGTAGAAGTAGCCCCTGAGAAGGAGGCCCAGGTAGAGGCAGAGCCAGAGGTAGAGCCTGAACCAGAACCAGAACCAGAGAAAGAACCAGAGCCAGAACCAGAACCAGAGCCAGAGCCAGAGGTGGTGCAGCATGTGGTTCATGAGGAGGAAGGTATGTGGCATGGGCAGTCCGTTCACCCTTCTGCTGCAGGATGTTCAGCACTCTGCTCTGTAGGATAGTCTGCCCTGTCAACGTCAACCCACTGCAGAAAAGATTCCGCTTGACAAGCCAAAGTACTGAGCACTGAGGACAACTTGGCATGATTTGAGTTTCTGAGTTTTCTCAGTGGTCACTGCAAAGCTTTAGACTAAACACTAGTCCTTCCATCTGTAGGTGGTGACAGTGCTAACCACTGCGCCACTGTGCCATTATTTTGATTGCCATCCCTCTAGCACCATCCCCAAAACAAATGTCACAGTTACTGTATAATACTATTGCTGATCAATCTGTTCACTTGTTCCAATCTCTTGAATACTGCGGCCACTAGCAGGTCAACACGCACTAGCAGTGTATGGCACATTCAAACTAGCGTACCCTACAGTGCCAGATGTGTTTTCAATAGGAGCTGTGCATAATGCTGAAAGGGAGAAGAAAGTCAGCTGTCTTTACATGAATCGACCTCCTTGTCTCATCCATGGTGTTCTATCCATGTTTGTCTCATTTTGTTTTAATGACCATTTCCATGGTTTGCATTTAGTCAAACTTGTGTGACTCTTCAAGGCTCTAGCAGAAAAATGATGGTTAGTTTGAGTCATTTAGAGTCATTTCTCTTCAGCTCCCTTCTTCTTTCTTTCTGAGTATAGATGAAGAGTGAGACTGGCAAACTGCTCTAAAGAATTTGCACTGGGGTGTTGTGTTATTAAGTAATCACCATTTAAGTCCTTCATGGAAATGTCTGTTTTGTTCAGATGGTTTTTTAAATGCAGGAGTCGCTGCACAAGTCCCAGGCTTTGATGTACACTTGCTGAACTAATGTTGATGCTGCTGCTTTAGAAATAGTGTGGTACATTGTTTGTGGGTTGCAATTACTCACCATTCTGGGGTGGAAAGACTCAAAAACAAGCCATGGACCCTAAGTTATTAGGGCTAGATTAGCAACAAACTGTCCATTTAATCACTGTATTCTCCATCTTACTACATGTTGAGCATAAGACCAGTTCAATGGTGTTGTAGACAGAAAGTCTCAATAGCTACAGTAAATAGGTTCAAAATTATTAAAATAATGATAAAATCTTTCAGAATCATTTGTAAAACAACTCATGTGACTGTCTTCTGATTGTCCACCTGTATGGTTGAGATCTACAGTACATTTACACAACAACATTTACTTGGCTAAGAATAGTGAGGGGAGATACTGTATGAACATGGTGTGCTATTTGTGAGAGCACAGCTAAACCCACTCCACCAACCGCTACCATCTTTGGTGTGAAATCCTGTCCATTTTCTCCCCACCAAGAAAATATCTGGGGATTTGTAATACAGCCAATAAAGACCACTATAGTCAAAGGGCTATTATTTAGGAAATGACTGATCAAAAGAAGCTCACGTGAGCACCTTTATTAATAAAATTTCAGAACCATGCAGTTACCTTTCTAAAGCTGTGAAAGAGCTAATGTTAATGCAGGATTAATGCTTTACGTGGGACTTGTGCAGTGGCTACCACTGTAAACACCCCAGTCTGGTAAATGCGCTTCATAAGCTGCCCTGTCCAATCACTAATGGTTTCTGTTCTGCTCTTGCTTTGGACACTTGCTGCATGCAGAGGCCTATGAAGAGGAAGGTATGTTAATTTAAATTCTTCTCTGTTCTTCTGATTGGACCCAGTTTATGTTTCTCTGTCGGTTACAGAGTGTTTCACACCTTTCACACATGAATACGTTCAAACTGTGTGCATTTCTTTGTTTCGCTGAGGGAAACTCAGAATTAATCAGTTTGCTTTTGCCCCTACGTCAGCCAACGGAGGTGACGTCAAGGTACATACTGAGAAATTCTGAGTCATGGTTACGAGCCCTACTGCTTATTTCTGCTTCTTTTCTTTTTTGCATAAATTTGTCCTGCCAGAGGAGGAGGGAGATGAAGATGGTAGTTTGTATTTTGAATAATTGTTGTTTTGCCTGCGTTTTCCTCCTGTGTCTGATTTATTAGTGTCAGGATCCCATAAAAAAATGACTAATCACAAACTTTGGTTGTTTTCACCACAACAAACAATTAACAGTAATTACAAAGTCAGTCTTAAAGTGTGCACTGATGTATGTTCAAAAAATTAAACTATTAAATAGTTTATGTGATGATTTGATACAGTTTACTGATCCTGATTATACTGGTTTGATTTACACACTAATGCACAACAAATTAACACTATGAAATAGAAGTGTTAGGTAACACCTCTCCTTACAGTGGCCCTTCTTCTGTCTATTAACCCATACTTTCCAGATAATGCACAGTAATATTGCTTCAGTTAGAGGTACTTACAAAGATATGACAAAAATACTTCAGAAATATGGAAAAGCTTTACTTTTCATATTCACGTTTCCAACAAGTATTACTGTGTATTTATAATAAGCATAACAGAGGTTATCACACAGTAATTGGGCCACTGTTGACAGGAGGTTTCGCTAAAATTAAGACTCACGCTCAGATTACAACGATCTGTTGGAGGTGTGAAAAACTTGTGTCCCTCAGACGTAACCACTTGTCCACATGGATCTTCCCCCAATTAACCAGCAGTTCTTCAGACTTTGTCTGCATATTTGTGTCTCTAACAGTTTGATTTCTCTCTTCTCTCCTGTTGCTGTTTTGATGCTGAAAAACCAGAGGAGAAGCCGAAGTTCAAGTGAGTACATATACTGTCCATAAACTGTAGCATCATGAACCACAAGGTTTTCACAGTGGTATAATTATAATTTTATGTGTTTCAACAGACCCACTGCTCCAAAGATCCCTGAGGGAGAAAAGGTGGACTTTGATGTAAGCTGAACTGGATGCAAAGGGGTCTGTGGCAATTCTCACTCCAAACCTGATGCCACGTGACAGTCTATTACTGGCACAGGAGCCCAGTGCGAATCCAGAAGCAGCTGTCCCAAATTAGGAGACAAACTTGATCGCACACTACTATTTTTCTCTCATGGTTGTTGAAGAGGGATGCTCGTTTTACTTTTTCATACTCACTTCCAAAGGCCAGGATTTTCTACACAGTGTGGGTTTTGAGGCAGAAACGTCTGTCCTGTTTAACCTGTTTCCACCAAAGGAAGTCTCCCTGGGTAACAGGTTCTCTACCTACGTTTCCACCAGAGGAACCAGGGTTTAAATTTAGTTCCTGGACATAGGTCTGCTGCCCACAAAAAGTCCCTAGTCAGGGGCTAGTACCTTCTGAAGGTCTGAGAATGATCATCTGTGCAGTGCTGAACATTAGTAGTTGACTGATTAATCGGGCCAAGGTGTAAACTTGATCCTGAAGTGGTTTCCCCATCTACTGTGTTCTATAAGTCTCCCTCTCTCTGAATTTCATTATAAACATAGGCTAAGCACATTGGAAGGTGAGAGTATTTAAAATAATTGAGAAAAATACTGATTCTTTTGCATTACGTTTTAAGACAGAGGTGGTGCACCAGTGCCACCATCTGAGAGACTGGGTGCCACCAGTATGAAATGTTAGTCTGGAGCCATGCTAAATGTTTTATTAATCTTTTATTCATAAAAGTTTATTACAGATTGATTTTGTAATAATTCAGGAATATTTTTTTTATTTAAAATAAGGTGAAATAAGACTGTAGCAAAGGAGGGACATGCTCATTTTATATTAAGGTTAAATAAATGTTCATTTAAGTTCAGGAAAGGTGTGTCTTATTTGTTATTAAATTGGTGTATTTTACCCGATGCAAACAGCCAGGGGGAAAAAAAAAACATGACATCAGTATTATACATACTGTATATGGGCCACCGGCCTCTCTGCTCTGACCGTGACTGAGTAATGACAAAGTAGCTTTTGTTAATGACTGCAGTCTCCTGTCTACCTCTTACAGGACATCCAGAAAAAACGTCAAAACAAAGACCTGGTTGAGCTGCAGTCACTGATCGATGCTCACTTTGAGTGCAGGAAGAGAGAGGAGGAGGAACTCATCGCTCTCAAATCAAGAATTGTGAGACTTTACCTAATTAAAACGCACAGTGCATGTGAAGGCAACAGGCCAGTTTGAGTTGCCCTTTGTGTTTCTTTTCATAAGGCTTTATTAAGAATCACAATGAAGCTTTTTTTTTGTATCATAATTGAGGAAATGAACCAAACAACTTCTAAAGCTGCTTGTGGAAGGAAGCTTTTGCAGTATTGTCTTTTGGTGTGTGTTTCTAGGAGAAGCGCCGTGCTGAGAGAGCCGAGCAGCAGAGGATCCGTGCCGAGCAGGAGAAGGAGCGGCAGGCCCGGCGGGAGGTCTGTAGTTGTGCTTTTATTGAATTGCTACAGTTTTTCTGCCTGGTGCAGTTCACAGCCCACGTCTGGTCATGCTTTTGGCTCATTCAGCAGCAGTGAACTTTGTCAAATAGATCGATTGAACCAAACAACATTTATTTGTGCAAGTATAATTTAACATCAGGCCATCATATTTTAAATTCATTTTACAGGCTGAGCGGATGAGAAAGGAGGAGGCCGACCTCCACAGAAAGGCTGAGGATGACGCCAAGAAGAAGTCAGCACTGTCCAGCGCTGGCTCGGGCATGACCAGCCACCTACAGAGGGTATGTTTTTGCTTATTTATTTTTGTGTGCCTGTGTAAGATTTCAGATTTTTACCATATCTTCATACAAAGCAGGCATCAACAAGTCTAACTAGCTGGACTTCTCTAGATTGAAGCAAAGAGAGGCAAGAAGCAGACTGAAAGAGAGAAGAAGAAGAAGGTTCTTGCAGAAAGATGCAAACCTCTGAACGTGGATGAGCTCAGTGAGGACATGCTGAGGTAACCCACAACAGGAAACAAGAAAAGTTGTAGCAAACTCTGATAGACTTTGGCTTACCTACTGAACAATTTACTATTTTCTTCTTGAAGGTAGCTGTAGCACTTTCACTTTATTATTTTTTCTATTACCTTTATAACTGGTACCAAATCCAGATGCTTTTCTTGGAAATAAGACATTAATTAACACCTAAATACCTAAATGATAATATCCGTAACAAAAGTTAGTAGCTATGCAGAGAAGACCTAATAAGGAAAGGTATTGTTTGGGATAAAGTCCCATTTTCAGCATGCCTGGAAGTTGGAGCCCCCACATCACAACACCATCTATTTGTAGATTGTAAGACAGGGACAAATATATAGGAACTGAACATGATGCATCCACTTTCACCCGCTTTCCCTCTACTACACATCACAGTCCTACAAGTCACGTCTACCGGGCACGTCTCCTACTAACAATCACACCCACTAATGCTCCACTAATTTGATGTAATAGAAGGAAAAAAGCTTGTGAAATATCAGTGACTGGATGTAAGATGGTTGCAGATAAGGACTCATTTGCAGAGGAAAACATTTTGCTTTGAGTTTCTTCAGAAGATTGTTTTTTTTACTTTTTTTGTTCCCGGCTTGTGTGCTCCAGGGAAAAGGCAAAGGAGATGTGGGAGTGGCTGCACACCCTGGAGGAAATTAAATACGATGAATGCGAGAAGCTCAAGAGACAGACATACGAGGTCAGTGAGTAACAGAAGTAAAGACACACTGTGTATTTGTGCATGCAGAAACACACTCTCAGTTTTAAAATTCTTTGGGCTGTATTGGTTGTCTTACATCTAAAGACAACTATATGCCACCTTTTCATATTTACTGTGTAAGAAAGATTATATTTACCACAACAAATGTAGAGTTCAATTATGCATCTTAGCACATAAAGGTACAACATATAGTATCTTGTGATGAGTTTTCCTGCACATGGGTGTTTCTCCGTCAGTGGGACAGTTTTATAGCTCATTGTTGTCATTTCTATTAGGGCCAGTGTCCTGCTGTCTGGTAAATGGACTATAATCACAACTAAAATCATCAACTTGTTCACAACAAGCTAGATTCTTCATTATTATCTTATGCTAAACAACACTGTGTTGTAGCTGAGATAAGTGAAATAAAAATACTTTTTTAAAACTAACAAACTGCTTAATCAGATTGAGTAAGGGACTCCGATTTGATAAAATTCTACTGAACCCCATAGCTACTCAATGAGTGCTTTATTACTCACACCTGCACAGCTGAATGTAATCCAAAACAAGAACCTCACCATAACATCCGTCATTATGAAACTCACATTTCAGTTTACGGTGAAATTGTTAGAAATGTAGGAATCAATTATACGTTTATCGCTGAGGTCATAAAAAGGGCAGTGTTGTACTGGACTGGACTGGGCAGCATGATGGCAAGGGCAGCACCTGGTGCACTGTTGCCTCACAGCGAGAAGGTTACGAGTTCGGGCCCCACCCGTGCTTGTGTGGGTTCTCTCTGGGTACTCCGGCTTCCTCCCACAGTCCAAAGACATGCAGCTTAGGTTGATTGGTGTCTCTAAATTGCCCATAGGAGTGTATGTGCGTGCGTGTGTGTGGTTGTTCATCTATGTGTTAGCCCTGCGATGCATTGGTGACCTGTCCAGGGTGTACCCCGCCTTTGCCTGATTGCCGGCCGGGATTGGCTCTGGGCGACCCCCTTGTGACCCCGTTCAGGGACTAAGCGGTAGAAAATGAATGAATGAATGAATGAATGTACTGGACCTTATGAAGTGTTCCTGAAACCCTCATGTATGTACAACAATGCTCAGTGCTGGCTGATATCCTGAAAATGTTACTTATTGCAGCTTTAAACTGAGAATGTCAAAGTCCTGACCTTGTGCAGGTGAGATGTACCTGTCTGCTCAATCACATCACAACCTGTCTTTCAGGTCATCTCCCTCAGAAACCGCATTGATGAGCTGCAGAAACAGTAAGTGCCGGCTGATAAACATTCACAGATTTATGAAACCATGACATTTGCAGACAACATCAGGAGCCTACACCACGGAGCAGGTCCACTTTGGCCTGGCTCTCTTCGGGTTAAATGGTTACCCTCGTAACATCTGGCCATCCTGGATAACCTGTATCATAATCCTGATTATTAGCTGGTTAAAGGGACACTGTGCAGATCTGACTCTGTTTCTGCACTTTGTGCCTTGCAGCAGCAAGAAGGGAGCCGCTACACGCCGCCGCAGAAAGTGAGCAGCTCCTCGGTGCCGGTCTGTCCAGACAGAAGGCACGTTCTGTCAGCTACAGCAGTCGCACGGAGATGCCTGCAGCTCCAGAACAACGACAGCTGGACGTCTTACAGCCTCTGTTTGCTTGATTGAAAATGTTTTCTGAATGACTTTAGCTCAAATAAAGACGTTTAAAAATGTCATTAATGTGGTTATGTTATGTTAAATAAATATATAGATATATAAATAAACAATATGATGGTTCAGACAATAAAATGTGACAAGTGTTTGTTCTTCAGCCTTTTTGTCACAAATTGTGTCTGTTTAAATTTTTTTTGCATCATGCGGTGAAACTCCCATCACAAAAAAATAAATGTCTGCTACTACTATTACTAATAATAATAATAATAGTAATACATTTTTACTGTTTATTGCTGCAGCATTATTTGATGATTTTTCTGTGAGCCCTGTGAGTGAGAACATTCTGGATCAGCAGATCCTGAATACTACTTGGATCCAGATCAGACTTTGGTGTGTTGCAAATCTTATGGCGCACTGTAGGCACTGGAGTTGAGGCAAACATACTGAAATCTGCCCTATCTCACAATGGTGAAGAATCCTTTTAAAATAATTCCTGGATCAGGATGATGATCCAGATCACCACCAGTGTCTAACGGATTGTTCCTCAGGCCATATCCTAACTCTCCAAAAGCATCTTCAAAATCTATTCACTACATTTTGAGTTATGTTGTGAACAAACATAACCTCCTTGGGGGAGGTAAAAATTCAGTTTGTGTTGCTGCACTATCACATCCAATGGAAATATTCTAAACCCCCAACATTAGTGAACACATTTGGGATCATTAGAAATGTTAGAGTTACCACTACAATATGGAGCTGCTATGATGAATATTTTTATATTAACAGTAGATAGACTGAGTATGTTATGTGGAAGGGATCTGATTAGTCTCATTCTACAGTTTCCCTCAGCTCAGTGTTTTGGATTTCAGCCATCAAATGTCAAAGTTAGCAAACACAGTAAAGCATTTAGCAGCTGAAGAGTCAGATATTTCTCTCAGAATCTGGTGAAGGCCAAACCAGAGATAAAGAAAATTGGACTTCCATTCACCTGACAGCCAGAAACAAATGTTGCTCTGTGTTCGCTGAACAGACTTATTACATCAACTTGAAAGGAAATGGGAATATTGTGCTTACAGCTTTTTTCACTGCCTCCAAGTGGCCAGAAACATGTTGATGACAGAATAAGATGTCAAAAGTCCTTGAAATGTCAACAGTGTATTCTGAAGACATAAAATAATTTTGTCTATGCAGTCTGAAATCCAGACTGAGAGGAAGTCAGAATATAAATATTTTTTATTAAAATGTCATTCACTCAAAAATGATAAATATGACACAACAATCCCAGCACTCCTTGTGTTTGTATGTTTAAGTGTGTGTGTACACTATAAACAAGCAGCTCTTATTTACTGATGTACAAAATTGTCCTTGGTCCTTATGTCTGCAGCAGAGATCCCTCTCCTCTTTCTTTGGTTCTTTACAGGGTATTTGTTTCTGCAGCATCGTTCACCCATGTGGCTGAAAACTGAACTGCCAGAAATAAGAACTGAAATGTCAGGAGAATGATCTCATCTCTCCCAATTTCTGTTAACTACAGTGGGAGACAGTAGCATTTAATATTTTCTTTCACAAGGTCACCTGCATCTCCTCCATACAAATGGTTTGTCCTTTTGTGGAGTTTGAGTCTTCAGCTCCGTCAAGTTCAGAGCGGCTCAGAGATTCAGTTTGGTTCAGTTGCAGTTTGACTGGAGACAGCAGGGCTGTTATGAGGTGATCCAGGTCCCTGGGGGACCACACTGTCTCCCTGGGCGGCCATATCCTGGTCTGTGCTAATCCGCTGTACGATGCTGGACAAACAGTCCAAACTGGAAATGAGTGGCAGTTTACTGCTGCTATCTGTCAGAAAGGAATCAAAAAACAATTTGTGTTCAGAATGTTTAGTTGTTTTTTTTTTAAATCAGGAATTAGTCATATTAGGAAGAGTTGTCATATAAACGCACAACAAGGTAACGGTCATGATCATGGAAAGGAAGTGGTCATAAGAGTGACGCAGGTCAAATCATAGTTATATTAAATACCAGACTGGTCAAATTAAAGGACAAATATTATAAATTGCTTAAAGTAATTAGAGGCCAAGTCCAATTACAGGAGTATCTTGTCACATTAAACATAAAATACTTGCTAATGGAAACACGTTATATTATATTAGAGACTGGTCATTTTAAAAGCTAAATCTATTATATTCATGAAGAAACTTGTCAAATTTAAGATAACTATACTTATTATTACAGACAAACAGGTCATAATCAAAAAGCTAGTTACGTTTAAAAAGAAAAATATACCTGACTAACACTGGGTCATAAAGGAATAAAGAGAGAGATAAACAACAGTAAAGGAGTGGCAGGACTCACTATGAGGCTGATCGTCTGCTGTCTGGCCGCTGTCACTGTTCTCACTTCTGATTGAACACAGAGAAATGAAATCCATCTGGAAACACAGATCAGCCAATCAGACAACAAGCCAAATGTGATTCTTTAGGTATAATTTCAACTTGGTTTATAGTTAGCAGCAGATCTTTGGGAGCAACACTCTGTGATTTTATCAGTTAACAATTCCATAAGTAAATTAAGTGGGAACAAATGTCCTGCAGATTTTGTGGCACAAGATTTTAATATCCAGTCCTTTAAGGTTAGCTCATCACATCTGTGTGCCTTCAATACACATCACTGCTACTCTTTATTTTATATTTGAGCACTTTATTAATATGTTAAGTCAAACGTTCCTACAGTCTGAGAGGCGTTTAAAGCCACACAGAACTGCTCAACTCAACAGAGGTCAGTAGAGGTTTGAATTGAAACTCCTGTCCATATGATAAGATAAATATATTTTGAGCAATACATCTTGATCATATATCTGCAATGTTCAGAAATCTTATCATCAATGAGGAAAGTGAAGTGTCAAATGTGTGCCCAAAGTGCACCATGATGTTTCCTTTCATCAAAATGAATCAGTGTGGCCAAAAATAAATGCCCCAGACATATTCCTTGAGTTTCAAAGGGCAGCACATAAACTCTTCAGCTGTTCTCAAACTCACCGTGCTATCAGAGCAGTTGGACCTGGGGCTGCAGGAGTCCCTGCTGTAGTGTTCTGGTGGTGGGTAGAAGCCATCGTCTCGGTCAGCCCTCAGCAGCTCCTGTAGTGACTCAATGTAACTGATTGCATTGCGCAGGATCTCCACTTTGGGCAGTCGCTGGTTTGGGTTGGAGGCTGTGCAGCGTTTCAGGGTCTCAAAAGCGTCATTGACCTTACTAAGCCGACGCCTTTCTCTTATTGTTGCTGCTTTCCTTCTGTCTACATGTGTCGTCTTCCTCTTGCAGGCCTTGCAGGCCCATAATAGGCAGTGCCCTGCCTGGTGGAGGCCCCTGGGAGCCCTCACGTGCTGTTCATCCTCCTCCTCTGCGATGGGGACATGGTGGTGGTGGTGATGAAGATGGTCTTCTGACTTCAGCAGGCCCACGTGCGTCAGCTGGGTGTCCAGCTCGTCAAAGAAGTTCATGTCACAGGCGCTGAAGCAGGGGTCATTGTAGAGGTCATCAGCAGAGGAGAGAGGGAAGGGAAGGTCAGACAGGTCCATCAGATCCACAGAAAAAAGACGAGAGGGCTATGGCGGAGAAAAAGCTTCTCCAAGAGTAAAATAATTAAAAAGAAAAGGAAGCTGTTGCTTCAAGGTCTCCTGTCAAAGTCAGCTGACTGAAGAAGCTGTCAAACTTTTAAAAGGGCCAGTCTGTGTAGCTTCAGCTCCCGTGACTTTGGTTTGTCTATATAAAGGAGTCAGCGTGTAGGCGGGGCTGTGGAGTATGTGACCAACAGGCTGAGGGGTGTGGGTGTGCAGGGGTGTGTAGGAGTGGGTTCACTGCTGAAACTCAGCAACAAGAAGGAAGCAATAAAAAAGCAAAAAAGTCCATTTTAAATCGTTTAGTTTGCTGTTTACTCATAAATGAATATTGACTGCAACTGATTCTATAACAAACATGCACCATAAGAACTACAGTAACAGAGTAACAGTGGCATCATTTCACTTTTTATAATCCACCTTCAACTGTTTTAAAGGCGTTCTTAAATAAAGAGATTAAATCCTGTAGACCAAGTCAAACTATCACATTTTTACTGGTTAAAATGGTTCATTCCAACATCCCAGGTTTATTCAAACCAAATGTTAGGAAGACCATACAACACGTCCGCCCAAAGCAGCTTCTTTTATTTCACTTTTACTATGTTATTAGACTTGTGTAAAGCACTTCGGTCGACCCCCGGTTGTTGCAAAGTGCTATATGGATAAACATTCATTGATTAAAGAAAACATTTTGCAATGTATTTTATTTCTAATTTTATCATCAAACCAAACTGAACAAAAGCCCTTAAAAATCTACATGTAAAAATTTTATTTTACTTGATAATCACATAAAAGATTAACAAAAATACTACTGAGTGTGGACAGATGGGCAAAAGGTTTAGTCTGCAAACGTGAAGGGCTCTGAACCATGTCCAAACACTGGCACCTTTTACATTAGAGTGAATGTTTGTACAGTTCCATCAGACTGACCGAGATATGAGCTGCAGCGCTGCGGAGGTCACAGGGTCACAGAGTCACCAGGTCTCTGATGTGAACAGGATGAACTCTGGCGCTTCAAGGCTTCACTGGACAACAGCTCAGCACAGTTTGTCCAAACAGGGGAAATGATCTCAGCTCACAACAGACTAATTTTCATTTGATGTAAGGTTGAAGGATGAAGTGGTCGTCTCATCTTTTTCTTTAGATTTTGTCTTTAATTTTTTTTAACCACTGAACCATAAAGCACTAAAATCATTGTCTAGTTTTATGAATATACAGATTGTCTCTCTTTCACAGAGTCTGTTCTTGGACAGTCACAGTTTCAAATGTTAACGTTGTGACAATATCAACCCTTTTATTGTCAATTAAAATAATTTAACCATTAATTAACCAACATTAATTCCTAAAAACTAAAAATGTACCTGAAGAAGTGTGATGGCAATTTCACTGATATATAAAAGAAGACAGCAACGTTACTCCTCCAGACTCTTCCAGAGTTTAGACCGTCAGGCAGCGAGCTGAGGTGTAGGGAGAAGGTCTACAGCTCAGGCTGGGCCTTAAAAACAGGCAATAAAAGTTTTAATTGGTTCTGAAAGACACTGACAAACAGTAAGGGGAGGCTAAAACAGGTGAAATGTGTTTCATAATAAACCTCGGCAGCAGCATTAAATAAGGCATCGCAATAGTCCAAGTGGCTGTAAACAGAGGCACCGCTAAGAACTTTTGCTGCCTGGAACTAAAGTAAAGGTCAAACCCTGAAAATGCTCCTGAGTTGAAAAATGTCCTGTTTGGTTCTGTTACTACAATAAGAGAAAATGTAGGTCAGAGTCAAAAATCACTGCAAGATTTCTGGCCTCCTGTGTGCACTGCAGGTCCAAGGGAACTAAAGCCCACTTTATTAATGCCCTCTCTGCTTTTGGCTCAGGAATCAGCACATCACTTTCATGTGTTTAGCATGAGGAAAATCACTGGGCATCCAGGATCTAATGTCTGCCAGGCAGGTTGCAGGGGATGAGCCAGGGGATAGGTCAGCTGGATTTATGGAAGGATGTAACCAAGTGTCACCAGTGTGGTGTATATGATGTCACAAATATGCTGAAAACAGTGGCTAATTTAAGCCTCACACTACATTTGGAGTCTCATTTTAGACTGAACTGTACCTTGGACTGTGTTTAGTTGTTGTCTTGTGAATGTGAGCTTTTTCACAGCTTCAGGGGTATGAAAATGTGGTGTGGGACACAACAGATCGGATCTCAGGATCCTCACAGCTTAATGGGGAGGCAGTGTGTTAAATTTAACAGCTCATGAAATCTAAGACAAGTGCCCTTCTATTTGAGGCTGCATCGCTTTGGAATACGTCCAACTCTCACACCCTCTCAGTCCTCTGGGACGCCTTCAGAAGAACCAGAGGAACATGAGCCTGATGACAGCAGACTCAAACGCTGCAGTGAAGGTGCCACTTCGTATAATTTAGAATTTTTCTGCTTCAGTTAAACATTTTATATGCAGGTGTGCAATATTTCTGATTTCTGTCCTCTACCAGCATGTCAGTAGCAATGTCACTGCCCTGATCATCAGAAGTGTGCAAGAAATTATTTTGTGGCATAAAGTAATAAATGAGTGGTCTCCTCCAGGATGACAGCGTCCCCCCTCCCCCATCCACAGGACACCAGGGGGTCATTGACTGGTCTGATGAGAATGACCATGATGTGAACCAGACACTGTGGCCTTCCCAGTCACCAGGTCTCAGCCCAGTTGAACGGGGAGATGTTGGAGTGTTGTGTTAGACAGCATCTCCACCACCGTCATCATCCAAACACCACATGAGGGAACATCTGTTGGAAGAATGGTGCTCATCCCTCCAGGAGAGCTCAGAGACCTGGAGAGTCAAGGTGGTGGCCCAGTACCTGACTGGGACTCTCCACAGCGTGTTTGTTTTAGCTTTCATTTGTCACCGGTCATCGGTGACCACTGAGTGGCTCCTTGTGTCCTGTGGATGGGGCCAGTGTCAAAACACTTGTTTACTCAGGTATTTCCTTTAATGTGTCACCCATCTGTACTTGTGCATAACTACACCTCATTAGTAGAAAAATAATCCAGTCCATTATTGCTGCATGATGTCGTGACACTGTCAGACAGAAAGAATCAGAATCGGTCTGAACTAGCTGCTCCTGATCTAGTAGTAGCTCCTAAGCTATTGTTTGGATGCTTTTGTGCAGATTTGTCAAGAAATCTTTTGTCAGGCCTCAACACTCCTTAATTCCTTTGAGTTCTCATGACACATGTATGAGTGAGATGTCTGGGAACAATCCTCCCTTCAATCCTCCTTCCCCTTTTACACCACCAACTTGCAGCAGCTCTGCACCTACAGGTGTGGGGGAGGTTCAGTATGTATAGATTGCGTGTGAGCCAGTTAATTTAGTCAACAAAATGTGTCTTTAGACCTGAGAAGTTTTTTAGAACTCAGTGGTAACACAATCTGTGAGAAATGATGACTACTATAAAATATTTCTGGGGAAAGGATACAGATAAATTCCTTGCCTTTTAGAGAAACTCATAATTGCTTCTGTGATTCAAATGTATGCCAAATACTATCCCGAGTTTAATGCCAAGGCAAAATTGATGAAAACTGACTATAGTAAATAATAGATACAAACTAAAAAGAGTTACATTTTTCCCTGTTGCTGTCGATCAGTCACAGGAGTCATTTTATCAAATCTGAAATCTGGTTTAAAATGCAAATTTGGACTAAAAAGAGGAACTACACACAGTCGTCCCTGTACCGTCTGTCCGCAACCCAGATTGTCTCTGCTTTTTCAGTGTGAGGGCTCATCTGCTCCGTGCTACAGCAAACCTCTCCTGTTTTAGCAGGACCCTGAATATCCCACCAGCAGCTGATGCCTCATCTATAGTATTTATAGTGTCGAGACTAGATTGGGATGGTTTTATTAGGCTGGTACAGTCTTTGTATTGGATCACATCCATTGCTGTTGTGCTGTACTTCACTTATGGCCTGTCAGGCTTGGTTACTTAGTGTCTCAGAATAAAGGTTTATCATCATATCAGCTGCAGCTGCTGATTATTTCTGGATTCCTGTTATTTACTGCATCTATTAATCATTTCCATGAACTTCTGGAGTTGTTTTTTTATTAGCAACCACAAAAAAGGATCTAAAAACTGAGATGTTATAACATAAAATAAAGCATTCATATTTACACCTTGAGGTTTTGGAGGTGTATCTGTTTTTAACATCATAATTTAATAATCTGATTCATTTTCCTCCAATGAGCTAATTAGCCAGCTGCTCATTTCAGTTCAGTGTTTTTGTTAAAGTCTGGCTCAGTCAGTTGCTGTGTTTTTTCCTTTCTAGTAAAAACAAACAGTCAACTTCAGTCCCATCACCATCAAAGCTCAAACGAGGAAACCATCAAACCTCGGTCTGATGTGATCTGCTGTGACTTGGTGGAACACCCAGAACTGGACAGGGTCACGACCTGCTGGACCAAGATATGGTTTCCAGATGGACCACAGCTCAGAGGGACTCGCTCCAAACACCACCACCCCTCCTCTGTTTTATGTTTGATTAAGTTAATTAACTAATAAAAGAAGAGCAATATTGTATCAACCTAACTACTGCATAAGCTTTACCAAAGAGCCTTATCTTAAAGGTAGAGAGGGTGTCTGCCTCCTGAACTGGGACTGGGACCTAGTTCCACAGGAGAGGAGTTTGATAGCTAAAGGCTCTGTGTTGATACTGCCCACATGCAGACCATCGTCTGAAATTATCAGAGATTTTGGTTCCAACTGAAGGAGACCAAACAAAACCAGAAGGTCCAGGCAGCTGCTGTGTGTTGTGGTGATGTGATGGAGGAGTAGAGGTGGTGTTTGACAGGTGCATGGCTTCTCTCTGATCAGGCTGAGCAACATTGCCGCTGGCTAACTGCTTCCTGTTGTGTGGCGAGGCGGCTGACCTCTGGACACGCTGTGATAGGTGCAACTAACTGCTCTAACAGGATGTCAGTAGCCTGCCAGGACACACACACACACACACACACACATTTGTACTTCTATCTGTGTTAGGACACTCATTGACATGATCCTTTCCTCAGCTCCTTCCCCTTAACCTTAACCGTCAGAACTAAATGCATAACCTTTACCCTTACTCAAACCCTAAAATAAA